AAATGATGGCGATGATCCTCCTATACTCTTTCTACATGGTTTATTTGGTAACAAATCTAATTTTCAATCCATAGCAAAGCACATCAATAGAAAAACTCAGAGAAAGGTATTATTAACTAATTTTGTTTTATGCCTTGATATTCTGGTGGTAGGCACATATTTTAGAGCATAAAAATTTGAATGGAAGCAAATGAAAAAGATATGACTGTAGCATATTTGTTCTTTTTGAAACATATCAAATTGAAGCACATGTCAATTTATTGTATATTCTTTAAATATGACTTATTTGGACCGTAGACACACCTTTGTCTATTTAAGCACATGAGCTAGTAAATACAGCAACATTGTTTAATAATGAGTTAATATATGGCACAATATCACTTATTAATTGTTTTCCCAACATTAATTATACACACTAAACCCACACACTCATTGAGCCAAATGGCTGTCACCTGCCTGTAGCCCAGTCATTGAGCCAAATGGCTGTCACCTGCCTGTAACCCAATCATTTGGCCAAATGGCTGTCATTTGCCTGTAGCCTAGTCATTGAACCTTAAATGACTGTCAGTTGCCTATAGCTCACTCATTGAGCAAAATGGCTATCATCTGCCTGTAGCCCAGTCATTGAGCCAAATGGCTGTCACCTTCCTGTAGCCCAGTCATTGAGCCAAATGGCTGTCACCTGCCTGTAGCCCAGTCATTTAGCCAAATGGCTGTCATTTGCCTGTAGCGCAGTCATTGAGCAAAATGGCTATCATCTGCCTGTAGCCCAGTCATTGAGCCAAATGGCTGTCACCTGCCTGTAGCCCACTCATTGAGCAAAATGGCTATCATCTGCCTGTAGCCCAGTCATTGAGAAAAATGGCTATCACCTGCCTGTGGTCAAGTCATTGAGCAAAATGGCTATCATCTGCCTGTAGCCCACTCATTGAGCAAAATGGCTATCATCTGCCTGTAGCCCAGTCATTGAGAAAAATGGCTATCATCTGCCTATGGTCAAGTCATTGAGCAAAATGGTTATCATCTGCCTGTAGCCCAGTCATTGCGCAAAATGGCTATCATCTGCCTGTGGTCAAGTCATTGAGCAAAATGGCTATCAGCCTGTAGCCCAGTCATTAAGCAAAATGGCTATCATCTGCCTGTAGCCCAGTCATTGGGCAAAATGTCTATCATCTGCCTGTAGCCCAGTCATTGAGCAAAATGGCTATCATCTGCCTGTACCCAGTCATTCAGCAAATGTCTATCATCTGCATGTAGCTCAGTCATTGACAAAATGGCTATCATCTGCCTGTACCCAGTCATTGACAAA